TTTTTTTTTTTTTTTTTTTAAATTGAATCGTTTCTCGATACGATCTCGCAATCCACCAATCGCTTTGCGCTCACGCATCCATGTGCTACAGGTCAGTACAGGCTAGTACTATATACAGCTATCAGATTTCACTGTTTTTTCATACCTTGACAACGATTTCCGTTCAATGAAAAGACACTAAAAGTCGGACAGAGAAAAAGAAGAAAAAAAGAAATCGAACATTTGTCATTTCATTAAAATTGTTAAGTATATCACAAACATTGTGTTCCACAATATACAAGCATTCTTTTGCTATTGTTTCTCGCTTCATATTAGATACCTGAGAAGAAATTGATCGAAATTGCAACGAAATCGTGATTTATATAAATATACAATATATATATATATATATATATATATGTGCTCCATGTTAGTTTCCGAGTTTATTGTTTCTAATTACTTAAGCGAGTGTCGTCAATGTTAATATTAGTGGCAATTTGTATAACGTATGTAGATCGTGTTGAAGCAACGTTAAAAACAGATATTTCAATTGCACATATATTTGCCGTGAAAGCAACGAATGTTAACGTTTTTTGATCGTGTATGTTAGAACAAATATCGCACAGATTATGATTGGGGAAGAAAAAAAAAAAAAAGAAAAAAAGATAAAAGAAACGTGTAATAATTAAATTGTAAATAGAATAAATAGCTTAGAATTGTGAGTTCGACTAATGTGAAGACATCAAGATAACAAGCGATCAAGCGAAAAATATTCGTTCGATCGGCATAATGCAATGTGAAACACAAGTGACATGTGATTACCAATGTATCTCAGACAAAGATTGAAATCAATTGATCGCGTAAGAAAAAAAGAAAAATAAAGTGTATATGAAAACAGATAGTCATATATAAATATTCTAGTAGCCAGCACCCTGCGGATTTGAACGCAAATAAAAAAGAAAAACGCAGTATTCTCAGTGTAACAGGTTTACATTTATTGTCTCGATCTCCCCTGCTTTAGGCATATATTAATAAATGTAATGTTCATTGCCATTCATTTATGTGGCTTACAACGTGGGGCTGTATTAAAAGTAAATCGACGGTTCTTTGAAAAATATTATCATGATGCGCTTCGCGTCATATATATATATATGTATATATTCATATATTATACATATGCACATATTCGATCGAAGCACGCTCTATCGAAATATCTCGAAACTTTTTAAATAGCGCACGACGACAAACGTCGTGTTACAAACAAACGAAAAGACTACTACTGTTCTTATCATCGTTAACAATTCCACGTTTATTTTATTTTGGCTTATTTCGTCGTTACGAACTTCGAATCTTGACCGCGTACTACCAACCATCAACTTTTTCGTCTCTATGAACAGACTAAATGAACGGACTAACATTTCTTCATACACCGAAAAATTCGCACCAATTAGACGTGTATTAAAGTTTACAAGCGGCTATCTTTCGTTGTATATATGTATATGTGTGTGTGCTTCCTTTTTCCCCAATTAAAAGTACGCACATCATTGGCACGGTGAATACCCCGGAACAACGGCAAGCAGCAGTCATATCTCAACAACGATATTTTTATAAAATATCGGAAGCTAAAATAATAAAACAGTCTTCTTCACTATAAGTCCTAACTTTTCGATTCTTTTGACTTTAAATTCGACAAAATAAATTGCAAGAAATAATATGCACATGCATGTAGTACGACTAGTGTTTACCGACTGTTTCGTGTCATAAGAACTTTGAAAGTCTTTTCTTCATTGAATATAACTATGTATAACTTCATGCTATTGAAAAAGCAAATTATATCTCATTCTTATTGTCGATTCCTTATTCCTTATTCTTTATCGTCACATTTTCTTTCTTAAAATATAATATCATAAATATCATAAAATACGTATTTCTATACGTATGCTAATATATATATACATACACACATATATATATATATAAAATATATATATGCATATATAAAAGAGAAAATATACATAAAAGAATAATGGTTAGATATAATATATATATGTTAACAAAAATTAAACTCTCTCGAGAAGTCACAATAATAATATGTAAGAAAAAAAAAAAAACTAATTTAATCGTCCTCGAGAACATAGTCGATCTTGCCGATGCTCTCGGAGCATGCACTTGCAATTGGCGCTCTCTCTCTCTCCCTCCCTCTCTCTCCCTCTCTCTCGCTCTCTCTTTCTCTCTTCTTTTATATTGTTTTACATAATTCGATCAATACCTCTTTTTGTTATAATTTAAGTTAATTTAAACACAACTAACAGCAGCACAACATAGTCCGGTACTGACCTATAACCATTACGGACGGATGGATTCCGGGAGGTTCGCACGATATATGTATTTTCCATTATCGGCCCGTATATTTCTTTCTCTTTCTTTGTATCTTTGTCACACTCATTCACGTAGGTTCAGTACTTACACCGTCTATGACTTTTATTCCATACAAAAATATTACGTTATATATATATCGTTATATATATATATATATGTATATACACGTTATATATATAACATTTTTCTTTATACGTTTTTGCCCAAGTACTTTTATTAAGTTAATCGCAACACCATTTTCTTCGCAATACTTGCCGATGCAGCATAATGTTCAAATAGAATATTCGATATAGCTATATATTCTTATTAAGAAAAATAAAAAACTTTATATTAATAAGATTTTCGATATCATTTGAATTAATTCTTAGTAGGAATTAATTTGTAATTAATTTGTGAATCATTAAATATTTGATGTTTAAGAAATATTATAATTGAAACGAATAGTAGAGAGAGAGAGAAGAAAAAAAAATATATATATATATATATATATATACGGCGCAAAGTTAAAGTATATTTGAATCCAAATCGATAATAATTAAAAATCACCTCATTTTTAAAACATATTCGATCATAAAATTGCATGACTAGATTTGTATGCATTATTATATTCAAGGTATTTTGCTATTTAAATATATGATGATTACTTATATATTTTTTTTTTTAAACAAGGCACTATCGGAAATGATCCGTTAATTTTAATTAGTTATATATACTTGTGCGAAGTATTGCGATGTTAATGGCTGCGAATAGATGGTGCGCAAACTTGCTTTTCTATCGATAAAGTGAATTCTGAGCAAACAGTGGAGGGACTCGATCTGATTTCGGCTAATTTAATCACCTCATTACAGAGTTTAAATAATTCATTCAAAATTTGAGAGAATATTTAAATAAATAAAATTCATACTTAAACGAAATTTAGTTCGAATATTTCGAAATTATTTAATCAATGTAAAAATTCGCAAAATTTTTTTTTTTTTCAAGGACTATCACACCTTACCTGTTACGAACTTAATATAATATATATTGTTTTTAACTTAATACTGATTCGAATCCTAACTCTATAATGGGATGAAAAATAAGCCAGTCAGCTAGCGAATGAGCTAGCGGTGCAATTAAAAATGAAAAAAAGATAATAGATAAAAAGAATTTAAAAAAAAAAAAAAATAATTATAAAGAAGAAAAATAAGATAGAAAAAAGAATAATATAGAAATCGATTAACAATTATGCGATTGATAATCACAGTAGTTCGTGTTTTTCAGGCACCTTTACTTACAAGCTAATGTTCAAATAAATATAAATAAATGTTGAGGTTGACACGAATCGATAAAAAAGATATCGTCTTGTCGATAATAGAGTGTATAGAAATAATCTTATTTAAAATAAAAAATAAAATAAAATAAAATATAAAAAAAATATAGAGAAAAAGAATAATAAAATTTTAGTCTGCAACCTTGTGAGTATTTAGCAAGAAAAGCATATATATATATATATATATAATATATATATACTTTTAAATATTCATATAGTATATTTTGCGCGCGCGCATATTATAAATGATTCAAATATAGTTTCGTAATAATAGCGTAATGAGCACTTAAATGCTAACCTAACTAATTAGGAGCGATTAATTAACGGACGCAAATCGAAATGCGTCGACACGAATGTATATTTTTTTCCTTTTCGTTTTCTTTTCGTTCTCTATCTTGCCACGAATGAATAATCGTGCTTGAGCCATTGACGAAACCGTTACGAACCGCGTACCACGTGACGATTGCACGTGCACATAAAACTCAGGGTTTGTGTATGATCCTTTTCCACATTGCGTGATTAACCGGGAAATCTACGGCATCTACGAACTCGGGGCTGGATCCAAGGTGACTTGATTTTTTAAAAAAACTGTCGGGAATACAGAAGGCGCACGTGCGAGATTACTGATTATTCTTTTAATTCAGAATCCTACTCACACAATCCGAAATAAACGTAAGATTAAAAAAGAATACCGCTTGTACGCGTTCGTTAAATAAATCGATTATTTTGTACTATACGATTGTACATTATGCGATTTCCCGTAAGGCGTATCATACTTGAAAAAGGCACGATCAAAGATAGATGAAAGAATTTTAAATTTGAAATAATTGAAAATATCTAACTATATTACAAGATTACAAGACGAAATTTCATCTTGGAACGACTATACATGTAAATATCACGCTAATAACATTACGCGATTTTTTATATAGTTGCCAAGAAAATATATTACCACTTATGTATATAAATTATATTTATAAATTTTCTTGTATTTTTTTTTGAATTATACGAAAAATAATACATATGTATTCAATCAAATCGATATCAATGAATTATGTAATTTTTTATGGAAATTAAATTTATATTTGTTATTGTATTTTACGAAAAAGAAAACTCAAAATTATATTCTTTTAATGTACAAATGTTATAAATTATATAAATTAAAAATCACCTTGATTTGAAAATCTTTGTTATTATATATGATACACCTTATGGAATATCTTGTATATTATTGTATGAAAGTCGATTCATATTCTTCTGTAGGTATAAAATGGGTAAAAAATTTCTTGAAACATTTTATTGTATTATTGTGTAGAAGACATTAATTTTATATCTTTTAATTTTATTCATAAATAAATTAATATAATTTATTTATAAATTATCTATAATTTTTATAAAAAGATAAATTTTTTAAATGCTTCATGACTTTTATACCCATTTTATGTTTTCATCATTAGGCATACTGTTAGTATGATAATAGTTAGACACAATCTGAGCCAAACATTTGTAACATTAGATGCAAGGTAATATAAATTAAATATCCCAAAAAGCCTAAATGATTAAATAAGGGCTTCGAATTTTTGTCAAATGTTGATATTTTTTAGATTAAGCATTTACCAGATGATTGGAATAAGCTTAAGGATAAACCCTCTAAATATAATAAGACCCAAATTATTTTAAGAAAATAATTAACTAATTGACGCATTGATCAAAGCATCTGAATCTGTTAATTGCTGAATAATTAGGAGAAAAATCAGTTATAATATGGACTTATATGTAAAATTAAAAATCTCAATATTGAACCAATATTGTTTTTAATTGATTTTAATTTTAATTATTATTTATTATTATTTCACTAAAACATTATTTATTATAATTTAACAATTTATATAAATTAAATTATGCAAAATAAATATATTATAACAAATGATAACATATCAGTCCATACTAACACGTCGAGTGACTGTCATAAAGAGTCGTTACGTAAAACTTCCTAATACTTACATTTTCTCCAGGACCTCCAAAACCACCTAGATTATAGTCACCCATTCCACTTCCACTATCTTCTCGTGGTGTTCCAGGGCCACCATTAGCTGGACTGTTTTTCATTCCATCAAGGCCATCACCATTTAGAACAGGACCCATTGTATTTGGACCCATAGGACCCATTGGACCACCCTCTGGTCCACCACTCATTGGAAAATCCTGATAAAACAAATATATTATTATGTTTTTATATATTTCATTAGCAGACAAATATATAAAAAATGAACAAAATATTTATTTTATAATAAAATTTACTTCACAACAAATCAAAATAATATAAAAATTACTTACTCCAGGCATATTTCCTCCAGGTACAGGTTTCATCATGGTATACATATTTTCACCACCGCTATTACTACTATCTTGTGGGCTGGGCATAATTGGTGTACCTGGACCAGGAGGACCTGTTGAACCAGGTGGTCCTCCATAATTACCCGGTGATGATGATGAATAATTCATTGGCTGTAATAAAAAAAAAAAAAAAATTATATTTCGTAATTTAAAAAAATTAAGAAAAAATATAAATAAGCTTTTTAATATGAATAAATATAAAGAAATAATATCATACCGTAGATGTATTAGGTTGCCACTGTTGTCTACCACCTGGTCCAGCCATACTCATTGGTGGCATACCAGGACCTCCAGGGCCTCCTGGACCTAAACTACTATTAGGAGGTGGCCCTCTCATTCCAGGTCCATAACTTCCTGGTCCCATTGGACCCATTCCTGGTCCTCGTGGAGGATTCATTCTTGGATTCATGGGATTCATGCCTGGAGGAGCTAGTAATAAAAACAATTTTTGATGCATTTTTTTTAAAGACATAAATATTAATACTGTTCTAGTTTTATGTTAATACTAAATGCTAATTGTGAATTTTTAGACCAACGGCAAATCATGTGAATGAAAATATTTTAATATGATAAAAATTATTTTTATTTTTTATTCTTTTGTCTTCTTTTTTTATAATTAAAAAATTTGAATCATGTTTTGCCGAAGTCGTATGTAATAGTAAAGCGAGTGGATGGCATGCTAAATTGATAATTTGCATCTACACAAATTAATAAAATAACAAAGCTCATGCAAAGGATAAAGAACAGCATTACTTTTGAATAATTTTTAAACAAACATTTGAGCTTTTAAAAATTTAACAACAAAAAGATAAAACAGTGCAATATGTATTAAATATATGACAAACAAGACAATCATTCAAATGATACATAATATCACAGCAATATTTATGTAAAAAATTAAAATATAAAAAAATTATTTAATATTATAAAATTATTTTATAATTAATAATGTGCATGTAAATCAAAAAAATGATATTTTTAATCATATAAAATTTTTTTCTTAAAGAATTTATAATATAATGAGTCTATAATTTTGAATGAAAATAAGTTGTTATATTACAGTTCTTAGTATATGTTAAATTTATGCTACAATAATTTATGACAACAAAAGACATTTTGTTAGCCACAAGATTACTACATTATGTATAGTGAAAAACTATATTATATGTAATATGTTAAAATATCTATGTCTTTACGCTTTTAAAAACGTAAATAAATAAATATATATATATATATATTTATGTTAATTTTATAATATATATATAATTTATATAATCTGAATATCTTTTATAAAAACTGTTCTCATAGCAAAGTTAAACATATTTTTAATATGTTAAATTGATATATTGGATGCAAGATTGGATGAGCATATATTGCACAAAGAAACAAAGCTAGTGCAATTATTTGTAAATAGTGAGAACAGAAACTTTAAAACGAGCAGGAGAAAAAATAAAAGTTAGGCTTGACTAAGTCATGTGAGTGTGATTTGGTTGCTGGGTTGCTTCCTACCTTGCCACCCTACAAATTCTCCAGCTTCGCCTGAGGAACACAAGAGCACATATTAGTACGGCAGGTAGGTAAGGTCAGGTTGATGGCGGTAAGGTCTAGTTACTTTGCGGTCGCATAGTGAATAAAATTAAATAAAAATAGATTATTTTAATATTATGAAAATATATTGTTATAACATATACCGATATATTTTATTTTATATAAAAATTTTTAAGTTTACTTTTTTAATTTAATTTAATTCTTAAATTTTTATTATTAATTTATACATATATGTTAAATTTTATTTTCAATATTCTTATTTATATGATTATAGAATTATATTATTTATATGATACATATGATATTTTATATCTCATATTTTATAGATAAGAAAATAAAGAAAATTATAAATAGTAAATAAAAAAATATATTTTCTTTTGAAAAAAAAAAAGTTTTTAAATAATTACGATAATTATAAAAAATATTATTATTAACATTATTATTAAAATATTTAATTTAATTAATTAATGTTAATATATTAAATTTATATATTTATTTTGTTATATAGAATCATAAATAAATATATGCTAATTACAATAATTTGATTTGAAAACTATACCACTGCATGTAACTAGACAATTCAAAAACCAATCCACTCCACATCACAGCAATCCAATCCACTTTTAATAATTACTGATTTATTTATTGCTGTGTGGTTTTTGGTATGCATGCGTCTATGCCATTCTCCTCTCGCAATTATTATCAATGCCAGAAAAAAAATCAATGAATCTAGCATATAATTAAGCCCTTACCTTGCCTTGTTGGATCCATGCTATTTGGCATCATTGGCTGTCCAGGAGGCTAAATAAAAATGCAATATATTAATAATTATTTTAAATTGAAATTTAATGTAATTTAATAACTATATTAATAATATATAATTATACATACCCCATTAAAATCATTTCCCATTTGTGGCATACGTACACCAGGTCTTGGTCCAGCAGGATATCGAGGTCCCATAAACTGTAACAAGTCAGAAATTCATACATTAAGTAAAGCCAATAAAATTACATAGATAAAATTTCAAAATATATTACAACTATTTTCACAAAACTGACACACCAGACAGCCGCAACAAGCAGTGATCACATAATAGGCCATATAACAAATGCATTTTGATGGAAACTCATCACAATGCACTTCATAAATATGTGTTATTAATGTTATTAATGTGCAAATAGGATTACAAACAATAAAGGATTATAACAAAGAACAAATTAATACAAACCAAAATTATAATGTGCATTTATAAAATAAGCTCATTAAAAACAAATGAATTTAATATTTTTTATATGATATAATGTTAAGAAATTCTTTTTTCTTACCTTAGAATTTTTGTTGTTATCCTTATTCAAAATATTTTATTTTCTTTTTTATATTTAAAAAATATAATGTTACAAAATGTTGCTTCAATCAATTTAATATATTTAATATATTTATTATGCAAAAAAATTTTTAAAATCTGTGCTTTGAATGATATAGTGTCCACTTTTATAAATCCTATTTGTGTGTTCTATATAGTATTATATTTAAAAGAATGATAGGTTGAAAATTGTACAATAGAAATAATTTTGGTAGGAAGAGAAGCGATTTCGAGCAAACAGTCATAGGTACATGATGATATGGTGTAATGAGAGTGGATTGAATGATTCTCCATGAGTGATAGTGTATGTGTCAAATGAGGCTTACCTGAGTGGACATCATCTGCGAGTGTGGGGGCGGGGGTGGCTGGGGGTGCTGGGGGGATGGCTGTGATGAGGGGTGTGTGGGCGGAGATGGTCGCATTGTCGAGTTGTTCTGCAACAAGCAACGCAAACGACAGACATGTAGCAACACTGCGATCCAGGCAACAGCTAGACTAGAAGGCTTGGGTATGATTGTGTTAATACTATATTGGTCAGCATCTTAAAAATCTAGAAGTTATAATTACGAAAATATAATGTTATAATAATAAATATTGTTTTCGGCATAAATCATTCATAAATATTATTTCGTAATTACGACTTTGTACGCGAAATAAAATCTAGCACTGAATGCATAGAGACATTTTACTTCACTTTGAAATTAAAGTTTTGATAAGAAAATAAAAATAAAAAATATTTTTTACTTGAGAATACATACAAATGTTTCAAAGTGAAATTATGTTATTTCTATCTGAACTTATACTTTGATACCTTAAAATGATGACTTAATAGATAATAAATGTTCAAACAAGCAATGTATGCATGACTAGAATTTTTTTTCACCTACTTATATTGTAAATGAAATTATAAGCGGTCAACGAGAATATATTTTTCTCGTAAAATGATTACATTTATTTGTTTTAAAAATACAATATTTTTAATTCCTAAATATATTCTTTTCATGATATATATGTATATGTGTGTATATATATATTTATATATATATATATATATTGATAAATATAAATTTGATTTTGACGGTCGTTTAAATTCGTAGACCGCTTTTACTGAATGCTAGACTACTATCTAAGCAGGCTTTTATTTTAAATATATTAGAAATCCTAAGAAGTGTGACCTTAGCTGACATTTGTATATAACATTTTACAATATGTTATATAAGTATTAAAAATTAA